TTCTTTGTGGAGAGATTGGGGATTAAGGATGCCAAGAGTTGCAGCTCCGAAATCGAGTTTTTGGAGGAGCAGATTGTTAATCACGAAGGAGATATCGAACCTACGGCTTCTGTGCTTAATGGATTTGTTGCGATTGCCAGATATTGTAGGTTTTTGCTGTTCGGTTTCGAGGAAGATGAGTTGCAGTTGTCTTTTGGGAATAAGAAGAAACCGAGAAAAGGGTTGATTGCTCGGGAGATTGCGGATACGTTTTTAACTATTCCGAAAGACTTTTGTTGTCCTATATCTTTGGACTTGATGAGAGACCCTGTGATAATATCGACAGGGCAGACTTATGATCGGAGTTCGATCGCACGGTGGATGGAGGAAGGGCATTGTACTTGTCCAAAGACAGGGCAAACACTCATCCATAATCGCCTTGTTCCTAATCGGGCTTTGAGGAATTTGATCATGCAGTGGTGCACTGCTCATGGGGTTCCATACAATCCTCCGGAGAGCACAGATGCATCTGCCGAGACTTTTGCTGCGGCTTTGCCGATCAAAGCAGCAACTGAAGCCAATAGAGCTGCAGCAACACTTCTTATTAAACAACTAGAAAATGGATCTCAGGGAGCTCAGACTGTAGCTGCTCGTGAAGTTCGCTTGCTGGCTAAAACAGGAAAGGAAAACCGTGCTATTATTGCAGAGGCTGGGGCGATACCGCACTTACGAAAGTTGCTGTCATCCTCAAACCCTGTTGCTCAAGAGAATTCTGTTACTGCAATGCTGAACTTATCCATTTATGAGAAGAACAAAAGTCGAATTATTGACGAGGATGGTTGTCTAGGATCGATCGTTGAAGTATTGAGGCACGGGCTCACAATGGAAGCCAGGCAAAATGCTGCAGCAACATTGTTCAGCCTCTCCGCTGTTCATGAATATAAGAAGAGAATAGCTGATCAAGAAGAGGCAGTTGAAGCCTTAGCGGAGTTGTTGAGAGTGGGGGCACCAAGGGGGAAGAAGGATGCCGTGACTGCTTTATTTAATCTGGCGACTCACTCCGACAATTGTGCGAGAATGATAGAAGCTGGAGCCGTTACAGCGCTTGTAAGAGCTTTGGAAGATGAAGGGGTGGCTGAGGAAGCAGCGGGTGCATTGGCCTTAATCGTCAGGCAGCCAGTCGGGGCCGAAGCGGTGGGGAAGGAAGAAACGGCTGTAGCAGGGCTAATATCGATGATGCGATGCGGAACACCAAGAGGAAAAGAGAATGCCGTCGCGGCATTGCTTGAGTTTTGCCGCACCAGTGGGGCTGCCGCAACTAAAAGAGTACTTAAGGCCCCTGCATTAGCCGGACTGCTTCAGGCATTGTTGTTCACCGGTACAAAGCGAGCAAGAAGAAAGGCTGCATCACTTGCCAGAGTGTTCCAGAGGTGCGAGTATGCATCTTTACAATTTGGACAATCGGATGTCAGATATGCATTTGCAGACAACTCAGCCATGAACAATTCAAGTCTACCCGGCGATGTATCCGTCTCTATGTCCGTTTCAGTACTGTAATCACCTATACCAGTTCCCATTTTTGTTGGCAAATACATTTTACAGATTCTTTCATTGATATTTCGAAGAAAAAGAGTTCATAGAAGTGTACTGTTTAAATTACATTGATCTTATATATATATGTAAATCCAGTGTAATTGGAGCACATTGATCCAATAATACTGAAAAAGTGTTACAAGTTCATGGACAATTTAGCACTTAAACCAGCTGAATTTTGCTTGGAATCTAGAATTTTCTTGTCCCATGAGTGATATCAAGATTTAGTGGAGACTATTTGGCCCATTAGATTCTTATTGCTGATACATGTCATCAAGCATCATTGCTCTGATATTATGGTAATGGTGTTTGCTCAGTGGGGTATGGCCTTCTCCAATGGTATTTCCATTTTTTATTGAATGGGAGAAGCACCAAGTGGGGCAGGGGGATTGCCAACTTCCTTTGATAACCATTGGTGTCTGTACAAGTGGAATGATGCCTACTTTTTGCTTCACCTGCAATTGTATCCTATTTATAGACCCGAATTCGACTTGTTAAAAGGTCTAATTGTTTGATATCAACTACTCATTTAGAAACATTAGAACTTAAACTTTTGCATATTGAGACAGCTCATGAAACAACCTTGAATGCTGTATTTGTGCATTTTAAGATGCTTGAAGATTCATTACTGCATATATTGATTGTAAAGCAAACGCAGCAGCGACCACACATATCTTCTTCCTAATAATTGCTTAATTGTAAGGACGAAAGATTTATTGTGGTTATGGGGCCAATGGCCGAATGCACATTGATGAGCGTACGACTTTTATCCCACTTGAAAATTAACTAATTTATAAACTATAAGGTTAGTCACTAGACTTTAGTCTACATATCGAGTTGGTCATTGAATCTTAAAAAGCTTCATTTTTACCATTAATCTTTTAACCCAACTTGTTTTGCTTTGTTATTAATAAAAAAACTTTCAACATTGATTTTTTTTTATTATTGGATCATTAAATTATTAACAATCATATGGTATGACAGTTTAATGCTAACATAAAAGTTAAAAAAATGTTTCTATTTCATATCTTCCTTCTTTTAAGATAAGTTTTTTTACCTATTTATTTTCGGTCATTACTTAAAATATTTATTCTCGAATGTCTTATTGTCCTCTACTATTTTATTGATTTAGATTTTTTAAAAATCTCATTAAAATTTATAAATTTAAACAACTAGCTACCAATTTTAAAGGTTTAAAGACTTTCTCAAATGTTAAAAGATTTAATATTTTTGTTAAAAAATTTTAACATTGATAATTTTCTTTCAAGAGGAATAATATATCTCAAAATTAGACTTATCGTATGATCTTCGATTGAGGCCCATATATTAAAACATCAAACTTTCAAATTTTCGATTTCAGAAAAAAAAATATTTCGACAAGAAAGAATGGTAAAATATAAACATTTCAGTACCAATCTTTCTAGAGAAGACTACTAACAACAAATTGCAATTGACAAACAACAATGACCAAAGAAGTGACAAATTTTTGAAAAAAAAAATAAAAGAAGAAAAATCACATCACTGAGGATTTAACAATCCGGTAGCAAAAACAACCAATGTCAAAAGTATAACGGTTACAGTGAAACTTTCTAAAATTTAATAACTAAATTGATATAGAAATTAAAGTTTGGTGACTAACTATGTAGTTTACCCATAAAATAATTCGGTTTTCTGTCGAAACTTGTAAGCGACAGGAAACAATGTTTCAAATGAGCATTAATAGTAACTTGTACACAATTGAATTGGTTATAGTTATATAAAGCCGTCATTTTTATCAGTATGTGACCGCTATCTCCTCCTCAGGCAGTCAGCAGGGAAATACAAAATATTTTAATATTCTCGCCTTCTAAAAAACTCTTCACCTGCAACGCCTGATGAACTGTCAACGATATTTGATTGAATGACAAAATCTGCAACCAATTTATGTTCCATTGAAACGAGCTTGTTTCTTCAACCCAAGGTCTCCATATTTCAAATAAATAGAAAAGATGGTAAAACACTTAATTTTGGATTTGCCTGCAACACTCTGCAAATCCAAAATCATGTGTTTTACCAACTTTTCTATTATTTGGAGCATGAACCACGTCTTGGAATTGTTATTTTTCAGGTTCAAGCATCAAGAATATCATATCAGGGTGAGCATTCAATATCAAATGCTTGTGAACATATATACCTTACTTACCCCCAAATTAATCACACACAAAAAAAGGAACATGGCATGTTGTTCCGGCTGAATTATCCATATCGGAGCGACTCGTATCAGAATTATCCATATGGGAATATGATCCAATGACAACCCTCCAGATATATTCAACAGAGATCTATGTCCAAATGACCCATAGGTATGAAAAATTGAATATACCTGCGCCCAGCATTCATAGAATACCAGTGCGCTGGCCAAAGTTTTATAGTTCTGCTGATGCATTCTGGGGACTGTCATTTGGGGAAGATAGTGCTGATAGTAGGATTGGTATAATAATTCAGATGATGAACTTGATTCTACACACTCATGGCAGTTGTGGATCAAAAGCAGAAAATTTTGCAATAAAGCACACCATGGAACTAAAGCCTGTGAGAAAATTTCACGATTGAAAGGGAGGCTCTTGAAGGTAACTGGTGATTATCAGATAAAGCATCAATATCTGGAGTGCCATGGATCCTAACTCTGATTTAAGAACTAGACTCCAGTAGCAGAAATAGATCAGCCAACCAGAACTAGAAAACTCTTGGCATGTTATCTGAAACTAAAATTTGATGAAGACCATGCTCTTATCATCAAAGTATTTCATCAGGTATGGTTCAACCCAGATCGGACCGGTTATGACACAGACTTACAGAGTGAACAATGTTCATGCGACCAATAAATTTTCCAACGGATGATGAACAAATCCCGCCTCATCTAGGAGATCCACCATGAAGCATTATTATTCAATAGTTTGCTGAACCCCCATAATCGTCAACCACGACTGGATGGTTGAAAAAAGAGTGATACAGATGATATTCAGTAGAAAAAACAGATTTAACAGAGTCGAAGCAGTAAAGTTACACCAATCAATAGAAGTACACTACACTACACTACAAACACTTCAAAGGTAATATGTAGAGGATCTGGAAAATTTCCTACTACCTGAAGAAGTCAGTGCCTTTCAATAGCCTAACATGCATATAATAGGATTAGGTAAACCGTATACCAATAGGTTGAAGCTTAGAAGATGACAATGGTGAGAAAAAAGGATTTATAGACAAAAAACTCATATTGTTAATCACCGTTGGTACATATTTTCAAGATTTTAACAAAGCATGCAGACTGAAGATAATCATCACATATGCCATTGCCATGAAGTACAGGAACAAGACAACTTTGCAAATACACTATAAAATCAGTCAGCGTTATTCTCTCAAAAAATTATGTGAATCTGAACTATATGGAAGCAGACAAAAAAGGCCATCTAAATCACACTATAGCTGTATAGCACCAAAAAACAATTGAACATGTGAACGTTAATGACATGCTTGAGAAGATGAACTCAAACATAACTTATCTACTTATTTCCACATCACACCGGTCATACCTAGATTTAATACACTGAACTATTGAGGCACCAAAAGCCGTGAAAAATAATCAACAAATATCAAGTTCTATCTGCAGGAGTTAGATGCCTCATCTGCTCTGTAAGGTTATTTACATTCTTCACATTCCACCAAAATCTTCTCTGATCACCAGGTTTGCTTTCATTCTTTTTAGCATCCGAATCGTTTCTTTCTGACTGGATTTCCTGTGTATCAGTTGAACCAGGATTTTCAGTCAAAAATTGTTCCCAGAACATATCATTGACCCCAGCTCTTGGACGTTCGGTAGTTCTTGCAGGTTGTTCTTTTTCTGTAATAGGCTCAGATGTAACAACGAGGGCAGGCTCAGAGTTCATGTCAATCCTGGGGGATTTAGGACGAGCATCAATATTAAGCTGTATGCAAGATATTGATGGGGTTTCTGCACAACTTGTTGATTCATCTAATTCAAGGTTTGAATTACCTTGAACGCTAGTGTGACCAAAATCATGTACCACATTCTCCCAAAACACCATAGATGACTCTAATTGTTCAAATGGCTTGATGTTGGACAACGGTGCGAAATTTGCATTTTCTCTAGCGATTAGGGAATTGCCTGTCTGACTATCTTCAATCCCAGCTTCATCATATAAGTAAGCAATTCTAGGCAACCTTCTCTTTCTGTCATTAGCCTCCAATTGTGGTGTCGGATTTATAGCAAGCCCTGGTTTCTGCAAGACTTGAGCCACAGAAGATATCATTTTTCGCTGCCGCTGTTCCATATTCAATAAACGCTCCCTCAAAAGCTGCATTTGCATCTGAAATCCTTGTCGTGCCTGTTCATTCCTCTTTATCTCTAAAGCAAGCGACCCTTTTTCATTCCTAAGTCTCTCAATCTCATCCCTTAGATGCCGTCTCTCTGTTTCTGTTAATGAAGAAGCTCCTTGTCCTATGTGATTCTGCATGGAATGGCTATGAACTGGTTTGCGCCTGTGTATGTTTTTCAGAAGATTGGGCTGACCTCTTATAAAATCCTCATTCGCAAACTCCCACTGTTCGGGATCAATTTTCCTGAAACCCTGCCAAAATATTGAAATAATTTAATTCAAGCCATAAGAAACAAAAATGTAATCGAATAATAAATGCGGGGAGACAAAAAAACAAGTGGCTCACATATGTATTAAGCTGTCTGATAAAACTAGAAAAGTTATTGTGCTTGAAAAATCTGGGAAGTAAATCTCTTGCAAACTCGGGTGGATTCCATACAATGAAACTTTTATCACTTGAACTCCACGACACAATAGAATCCGTGGAAGGATCATCCACCATCTCATATGTCTTTGCAATGAAAGGAGGGAGAGAACTCGAGCTGCCCTGATTTTCCTCCATACCAAAATTCCAGTATATGTAATCTCAAACACCCTAAAGTTGGTTCTCAGCAATCAAATGTCAAGCAACTGCAACAATTACCCCACAAATCAAACTCTCAGACCACAGAAACGAACATCCTCACTCCAATAATGAATATCAATCAAAAGAATAAACCTTCAACCGCCCATATATCGTATGCAACTGAAGATTATTATCTCTTACTAATAAGGATCTATAACTTGCCAAAGGCTGTAAATCAAGATTCTCGAGTTCCAAATCTACAAATCTGAATCAAGAGTAAACCCTTGATCGTAGTAGCATCTAACATTGAACGTAAAGAAAAACAAGAGCTTCATCGACCTCTTAAAATCCAAAAGTCACAACCCAGATCAATACAAGAAAACCCTTTCCTCCTTGATAAAAACCCAGTGAAAGATGTCAGCTGCTTCAATGTAGGCAGAAAAAACCCTAAAAATCCAATTCTAACCCCTAAATTCTCCAAATTTCAATAAAATAAAACACTTTGTCCTTCAATCACAAACCATGCATCATTCAAGTTCAGCTTCAGATTGAAAACAAAAACAAACATCACTTGCAAAGTTCCTGTATTCAACAAAAGCCAAAATCAAAACAAAAATTAAACTAAAAAGAATTGAAGAAGAAAAGAAACCCTCTACAATTCTGTTACTACTTGGAAACTATCGATCATTTTACAAGTCGCTAAACAGTCTTACTACAATCACAGTCAAAGCTCTTTCATTCTAATTTTCTTGCAGAAGATGAAATGAAGAAAAGGAATTAGGAAAGAGACAAACTTGAAGCAAAAGCAACGTGAAAACAAATTAATAATTAGAATTTGATGAATGGGTCACGAGAGTTAGTTGAGTTGTTGTTACCTTAGACAGACCATATACAGAAAATACAAAAACAAAAAAAAAGAGGCGAAGTTGCAGAGGAGGTGATGACACCCGGACTTAGAAACCACCAACAAACAAACAAACCGGCGATTCGTTTTAGAAATCAGAGGGTTTTTCTTTCTCTTTCCTTGTGTTTCCCGGGAATATCAGGAATTCTCGATTTCTCTTTCTTTGAACCGCGTAGCGTAGAAAAAGATGATAGACTTTCTACTATGCTAGACTATTTTGTAATATTTTTTTAGGGTAAATTCACCCATTAATCACTCATTTTAAATTTATATGTAGAGTTTTTTGTCCATTTTTTATTAGTCTTTTTGCTATATGTATGTTACAGATTTAATATCTCTAATATAATTTGCTTTATTTTATCAATTTTAAAAAATTAATGTTAAATAAAATAAAAATTATTTAATATATTAAGTTCTGTTATTAGGATTTGTATTAAGATAATAGAGGTAGAATTCATTTAAAAGTCAAATCACTTTAATCTATTGTATAAATTATTTTAAGTTTTTATTGTTTCAATCATAATTTAACCTAATTTTTTCCCTTCAAACATATAATAATATACCTTGGAATAACAAATTTATTAACAAGAAATTGATTTGTGTATACCTATACGTTAGGATGGAATCAGAATGCCCAAAAAGTTTGGGATCAATTTAGAAAGAGGATCATAGTTTGAGGATGAATATGAAATGTTGAAAAATTTGAAGACTAATTTAAAATGATAGTTACAGTTTAGGGATAAAATTAAAACATTATAAAGTTTATGGACCAATTTAAAATGATATTAAACTTAATTTTATAGGGGTAAATGATATTTTTAATATTATCAGTCATCAATATTTGATTCACTTATTAATTGATCTGGATCAGATATATAAAATATTTTTATTTATATTGGTTAAATTATTATCATATATAAATTATTACCTATTATAAGTTGTAAGGATATATTTTTAATTTTGATTACTCGAATTATATTAGCTATTAGAAAAAAAAATAGTGTTTCTTTTATAATAATCGTATCAAATTAAATAGGACTAAATCATATTAGGTATTATAGAAATTTATTACAAAAATTATGAACGGATGTATGAGTTTATATTAGGGATAAGAATACATTTTTAATAAAAAAAATTGAAATATATAATAATTTTAAATTTTAAATATGTGGGACCCCACTGAGAATGCAGCTCAATACAGGAGCATTGAGAATGGAACCACGTGTGTCGTTAAGGAAATCTTAGGAATTTGCGTATATGCAGATCACGTGAACTGTGGTTTAATCAAATATGCAATGTAATACTTATTTGATTAAATATTGCAATTATTCAAGAAAGGTGATCATATTATAATGGATTTATAAACTAATATTCCATGTGGGAGACTGCAACTTCGTTTAAAAGTTCATAAACCGACTTGTATTTACAATGACAGGGAATGTTGCGTTTGTGTATGGTTAAGGGTTTTTGAATTATGGTTCAAACGGGATACGCAATTGCTTAATATTAAAATAAATGGATATTTTGTGTTTTCCATGAGTCCTAATCGTTATGCAATTCAATCTGCTATTGGATTCGAGAGTTACTGGATCACGGTTATCACGGAAACAAAGGCATTGGTCTTCTAAAAGATTTAAATTTCACGACAAGGCGTCGGTTATTAAATCTTATTTTTGTGAAACAGAGTCCTCTTTGTGCTGGCTTCCGCTCTGTACGTCCCTGGGATTTTTTAATGTTTTATATAAAGACTAATTGGACTAAAATTCTGAATGGATTCATAGTATTTTATGTATGGTCGCTTGATAAAGGTGCATCATGGCAACAGTCTTCTCGTATTATACTACCAAATAATGAATATAATACTAGACGTGGTTGTATTTCACTGTCTGCCAATGCTCGTTCTATTTGGATTCGAAGTCTGGTTCTTCTTGTGGTATAGGCATGCATAGCATGCACACGATCTGATCGCCTTAACTCAAGTAGAATGGTGACTACATATTGTTTCGCTCTCTGCCACTACTGGGAAAAGTCATTATTGTAATCCTAATAACTGCCTTATGGGTTTCTGCATAAATAGGATATTCGATTTCGAGTCTCCCTTGGTCTACTGTTATGTAGTATACTGTCAAATACATGTTCAATTTTACTCTATGATCTCAAATGGGATTCAATATGTAATAAGACATGAGTGTAGCCATATTTGGACAAGGATTTTTTGTGTTTTACTTCGTTTCGGATTCTTGGCATCTTGATAAAAAAATTTCTTAGGAAACTTATGGTTACCATTCTAGTTACCTCAAAGCATTTCAGTTTGTCTTTTACTTCAGATAATGGGGTTGGGAAATATGACAAAACAAACATGATATCGGCGGAGGTTGCGGGACAGCCTAGTCGAACGTCATGAAACTGTTATGTTGGAACTGTCGTGGCTTAGCCAATGCTGCGACGGTTCATGGTTTAGGGTGATTTGTCGCCCGAGTCTATCCTCTCTTATTTTTCTTTGTGAAAAGCGACTAAGGCAAGCTCGAAGTGTCTATATTAGGTGCAAGTTAGGTTTGGATAATTGTTTTACGGTTGATAGCGGAAACTCATGTACTAGTTTGATGGTTCTTTGGAATAATGATATAAGTGTTGATATTCTATCTTACTCTCGAATTCATATAGATGCTATTATTAAAAATGGATAAGAAGCGTTTCATTTTACTGGAATACATGGTCTTTATTCTGCTCAACACAAGTGACATACATGGAATACTTTGTCTACTATTAATAGGGCCTCGTCGCTCCTTTGGCTTTTAGGGGGTGATTTCAACGAGGTCTTGTACCAATGGTTTGTTTGATTGCAAACCAGCTCGTGGCTGGTATACATGGCATTGTGGAAGAACAGATAATCTTACAATTCGAGATCATTTGGATCGTTTTGTAGCTGCTAAGGTGTGTTTGTCGTTATATGAGAACTTTCGTGTGTTCATTGAATTTTCTGAACACTGATTATTGCTACCTTTTTCTCAACACAAATGGTACCTTTGCTAGTACTTATGATCGAAGTGGTGGATATTATTTTCATTTTGACTCTTGTTGAGAAAATTAACCAGTTTGTTGTGGTAAGGTCCAAGATGAATGGAAAACGACAAGGGGTACCGTGCTTGATAAAATTGCTACTGTAAGGGTCGCTTTAGAGGATTGGCAACGAGACAAAACATCACTATCGAGAACACTTATTAAGGAATTAAAAGGACTCGTCAATGCAGGTTTACAACAAAATCCTTCTCCTGCTGTTAGGGAAAGTTTTAGCCAAGCGAAGGCAAAGTTAAAAACATTGCTTGACCGAGAAGAATAATATTGGACGCAACGATAGCGAGTGCAGTGGCTTGCCCATGAAGATAAAAATATGTCCTACTTCCACGCTTGGGCTAATGATCGTCAGAAAAAGAATTGGATCTGGGGTCATTATGATAATAATTGTGTGTGGCATACTGATAAACAGGGGGTCTGACGCATTATTGTTTCAAATTTTCATAATTTGTTTACAACGTCTGTTCCTGTTATTGATGATCGTATATTGGAGACTATTGAGCCTATTATCTCTAATGATGTTAATAATATGTTATGTATATCATTTACTACTAAGGAGATTGTGTCTGTCTTTCAGCATATTTATCCAAGGAAAGCTCCGGGGATTGATGGCCTCTCCGCGAGCTTCTTTCTCCTTCATTATGATCTTATTGGTAGGGACATTATTAACTTGTGTATGCAACTTCTCAATGGTTCATTGGGTATGAGCATGGTTATTAAAACAGTTATGGTTCTTATTCCTAAAGTGGAAGATCCACAACTTATCAAGCAACTTCGAAACATTAGTCTCTGCACTGTGGTGTACAAGATTGTGTCTAAAGTCTTGGTTTGATGTCTGAAACAACATATGCAACATTGTATTAGCGAAAATCAATCTGCTTTTATTCTAGGCCGCCAAATCTCTGAAAATGTTCTAGTAGCTCACGAGTTGCTTCATTACCTGAATTCATCCGAGAATGATCCAATAAAAGGTCCACCCTTAAACTTGATTTTTTTTTATGATAGGGTTGAATAGCTTTTTTTACTGGCGGTGTGCTTAAGCTTGGCTTTGCGCCTCATTGGGTGGACTTAATCATGAGGTGTGTGGAATATGTAACCTTCACTGTTCGGGTTAATGGGTTTAAACTCAGGAATTGTTTCCAAGTCGAGGTTTTTGTCAGGGTGACCCTCTGTCACCGTTCCTTTTTTTTTTTGTACTCAGGGTCTCTGAGCAATTCTGTTAGATGCACAATGTCGAGGTAGCCCGACAGGCATCCGAGCG